CCAGGTTGTGCTTGTTGTGTCCAGCACCCGGGTGAAAGGATGACATAGACATTGAAGTGGGACTAAATGACAGGCTGCAGCTTTTAGAAGTAGTAAATACAGGTATGGATGGCTTCCAGTGCCCAAGTGTAGGATTCTGTACCTTATTTGTGGTATGTCAAAATCCTCTGTTTGGTTAAGGGAAAGGTAGGGAGACTTCACAGAGATCTGAGGATGCCCTTCCAGAAATGTGAGATTTGATGTCCCGTTTTTCTGCCCATGTACACAACTGCTCTGGCTCGTCCTGCCAGTGGCTGTGGCCAGGCAGCTTGTCCAGCACAGCAAATGCCATGGCACAGGCTCCTGCAGCTGGGGCCTGGCTCCTACCTGTCCATGCAGCACTGCCAGACAGGGCACTGCTGGCTCTGCCTTTGTCTCACCAGTGTCCATATGGCCTCGTGCCTTCAGGACGGGGCTTTCCTGCCCTTGAACCATCTTTGTCCTAGATCTGAAGGGACACCACCCTGCCAGCATTCCTTGGACTGCTGAGAGCAGTCAGCCTTTCTTACCCACTCTTCATTTGAGCTGGCTGAGCAGCACCTGTAGAAGTGCTGTCCTTCACCTTCCTTGTTAGAGTGCTACTGCTTCATCTCATCCTGAGGACAATGCTGTGCCCATGAATCAAGGCAGAGCAGTAAGCTGGTCCATTGTCCTCTGAGCCATCTTCACTGCCTGTACAATTCTGAATGATTTAATGAATTTAGAACTGTGTGTGGTAATCGAGGCAAGCGTGTGATTATCTATGTCTTTATCCAGAGCCATGTACTAGTCTTGTCTCCATTTATATGATCTATTAGTTTGTCAAGTTTGTGTTCTCTGAAAAATACTTCTGTGCTGATAAATACATAATTTCTTACTGCAAACCTCAGCTGACAGGAAGTTGTAAAATTTAATATTACAAGAATTTCATGTCTGACGCTGTCTCCTGCAATGTTAGTGTACTTCATGCCATTGTTATGTGGTGTTTAACTCAATGAGCTATTCTGCAAGGCCAGCTGTTTATATGTGTAATCAGTGGTGCATATGCATGTCTGAAGCAGTTTGTTGATACTAAATATTTGAGGTTTGGTTGTCCCATGGTAAAACTTTAGATTCTTGGCATTATGCTTCCGACGGAGTAGTCAGAGTGCTGGACAAGATGGTGCATGATTTTATTTCCTCTCCTAGCTTACCAGAGATCCCTTTGAACTAATACTTTAAATCACTTTTAACTAGAGCCATGAAAAAAATATTAGAGAATATGAAACTACTCTGAGAACAAGGTGTGAAATTTATTATGTAGCTCTTGATACTTTACTCATGTTTTATGGTGCCAATGCAAATATACAGTATGAATAGAGCTTGTGCCCCAGACCAGAGTTAAGAATGCTAAACAACTGCCTGCTTTATGTTGTCCTTTTTTTTTTTTCAGAAAAGTCCTGATTTTTGTGTTTCCTTCACCTCTCAGGTTAGCATGAATTACTATTATATCTACAGCAATATTCTGGGTAGCTTTATATTGACCTTCTGCCTGCATGTGAATACTGAAATTATTTTATCCACTAAAAGAATATCACAGAGGATGGAAAGCAACTTTATGTTGTGATTTTTTCCCTTGAATTTTATATTTCAACAGACTTTTTAAGTGGTTTTGTTTTGTTCCGCTGCAGCCAAATGAATTTCACATGAGTTTGAAACAGGAGCTTACAAATGTCCTGACTGTCTTACTTTGTGTGCCCTCTGTTAGAGAAACTACTATGGAAAATAAAATGTAGTTGAAGGATGTGTTTGTTTACATTATTGAGAAACTGTGGCTATTTACTTTAATCGTTTTTACCTTAGATTTTTTTGGTAGTATACCTGTGTGCCATCACTGTTGGTGGGTTAAGATGCAGTTGTGTGTATTTGTAGATTTTTGTTGTAATAATGTTTTCCTTACAAAACAAAAATAGTCATGATTCTGCCTTTATGCTTTAGCCATGTGTTTGTTGAATACAGGTAGTAAAGCAGACATTTTTAGGTGTCTTTGGTTCCTTTCAGTGGTTCCTTTCATGGATACAGTTCAGGGTGGGATGACTGGGGAGCAGAACTGCCCTGGCCATTCGTGGCACATCAAGGGACAGAAGTGGCAGCCAGGTGAGGGGGCTGCATGGCCGAGCCTCAGGGATTGAGCTGGGTCCTTGGGAAGAGCAGGGATGCTTCCACAGCCACAGCTCTTGCTGGAGTCTCAATGCAGTCTCTAAAGGCCAAGACTTTGTTGAGGTTGATACTATTTTAGAAAAGGCTTTTACCTCTCGCATGCATGAGAACTTAACAGGCTTTTCTTTGAGTCCTGCCTGAAACAAAAGCACAGATCCTATCGTTCAAATTCCTTTACTTAGCAGCGAAACGCAGGAATGGGACAGTCCCTAACAGTGGCTGGGAAGGCAAAGGTGCAAAGCAGTCGCTCACTGAGGAGTGCTGAGTGCCTTCCTTGGGGGCCACAAGGAAGTTTGGGCAGCAAAACTCATCGTGCCCTGCTTGTCTCACTGGGGCCACATGGGACCTTTGAGCCAAGTCCAAGAACAGGCTCCAGGAGGGATCCTCAGCTCTCCAGTCCAGGCAGTGTGGGACAAAGGTTGATGCTGCTTCCCGTGAACATTATCCGAGAGAGTGGAGCCCTCATTTGGCTATTAGCTATCTGCAGAATGTTGATGACCAGTGTGCAGAACTTATCTTTGAATCTGGGGTGACTAAAAACACTGCAGAAGATAAGGAAAAACAGTGCTGTAGTCAGAGTTGGTAGAGAGGTTCTAGCATTTTTTGTGCCTGAGACTAGGAGAAAAAAATACTTGGGGAAATAAGTCCAATTATTTTATTTTTTATTTGTAATTTTTCACTGAAGTATCTGATCAAGGAAAATATATTGAATTGGAATATTCAAATTTGGTACTTCATGGTAAGAGGCAAGTCTTCATTTTAAAATCAAAATTATAGAACTGATGTTAATTAGAATGAGTGTAGTTTTATGAATCTACACAATGTAGCTTTTCATTTGGAGGAGTTATTCTGTGTTTTTAAAGTAAGGTTATCTGTCTTGTGACATCCTTATTATAAAAGGTAGCTTGGATACCACACAAACTTGATCAAAGGCTTGCAGAACTGAATTTTTCCTTTTCCTTTTGATTCAAGAAACAAGAGTACAAATTTGTTTCATTTGCTTTCCGTTGGTTTTCATTTGTATATATATAGGCAAAGCACATATCTGTAAAATAAAATTCTGTCTTCCTTTTTAACCTGTGTTAAAGTTGAGGTGTTTTAAGTGGATTGTGTTGCATTACAGTGAGCACAATTTCAGTGTCAGGTGTTTGTTGCCTGATGACTGTAGGATTAAAGGTTATGTGCTGCTCTGTATTGCACTTAAAACAATAATAGAGTATTAGTGCTCAGTGTCTAGAAATAGCCCTTAAAAGTGCAGAAGGTTTGGAACCTGTTCCTGCTTGAAGTGTGGGTTTTTAATGTGCTGGAAGAAGAGCTATAATAGGATAATAAAAACTCAGCAGTAATTCCATCTCTTGCTGTCCTGTAGTAGGCCTGCAAAGAGTGCCCAGTCACTTAGGATGTGGAGTGTCCTGTCTAATTGGCAAGGCTGTGCAGAAACAATCAAATATAAAGGAAGGACTTCAGGACTTCTTCACTAAAAATAAACTAATATTTGACCAGGAAAAATAGGAATATTAAAATATGAATATTTAAGAAAAATATTATGGCTGAACAGTGTGATTTATTGCATCTTATACCTTACTGAATGTTGTAGTTAGCTGCTTGATTCTTTGCAATTTCAGCTTTATGTTGTTGCTATCACTTTGGGAGCTCCAAGCATGGGAAAATCTAATGTACATATGTGGAATTTAAATTCTATCATAAAAGGCATTTAAGCTGCAAGTTTTTGTTCTAACAGATTGTACTCTTCTTTTATGTGACAAGATGCAGAACATAACCACCTTCTGTGGCACTGGGCATCCATGGCAAAACCTATTTAAACCTATTCCTTGACTTTCTGTGGGATGTCACTGCTTTTGGAGTTCACCCTTGCAGGAGCAGGGGAGAACAAAGGCTCCCGAGGTTTTACAGAGTACTCACTATTAAATGGGCTATGCATACTTATGTGTACATGTTTAAAAAAATCGAAAATACTAAAGATTAAAGGCAGCAGCTTTGTAAAGAAAAAGAAGAAAAGCGAAGATAATTAAGTATGGCTGCCCTATAGTGCAGCTGAGTCTGTGGTGATGCAGCAGTCAGGCTGTGTGGAACTGATTAGAGGAAGCTGGTAATTGATAGAGAAAATTAAATTTGGGATAGTTTCATTTTCATTTGGGATTTCTTTCAGTGGTTTGTTTTCATATATCTGAGTTTACAATACATTTTGAAAAGCTGCAACTGAAAATCCATTAGTCATTTCTGGAAGTAGTTCCATGTGGCTTTGTCAGTGTAAGTGGTTTTTGTGGAAGTGTGAGCTCAGTAGTGCAAGGTGCTGAGTGTCTGCTGAGGAGTCAAGCATCGACAGATGGGGTGCACAGGAGCTGCTCTGGTGCCTTGGCCTTTACCTGGAACCACGCCTGACAATCTCCATTTCAGAAATGTCTTTGTAGCCAGAGGTCCACAGTGACAAACTTGGTCAAGAGACTGAAATAAAGCAGCAGGACATAATAGCTTTAAAAATGCTACAGCCTAACTAATATCACTCTGTTTGAAGTCTGCAGTTTCAGCTAAAAGTTCGACTTCAGTTAAGTGTTGTAGATACAGGGTGGTTTTGGTTTGGGGGGGATTATTTTTATTAGAGGATACTTAAACTAAGGGTATTGTTCTATTTAGTATATTATGTGGGTATCAGTTTAAACTAAATGTGATGTTTTTGTAATTTTTTTTAAACTGTGTAGCTGGTAACTGTTCTTCCAAATCAAAGTGTTCACACTCATTGTATCAAGCCACAGAAAACTGATCCTGACTTTTAGGACAGATGAATTTGTGTTCTGAAGCATTAGTTCTTTTTTCTAGTAATGATGTGATTGAACACTAATTATCCTTTGGAATTCAGAGCTTGAGCATATACTGCTCCTAAATCATTCATTCTTTGGCTGAATTTTATCATGTCTTGGGATTTTCTTTTTTTTTGCCCTTTTTCTCCATATTCGCTGAGGAGCTGTTGAAATTAGTTACAATAATGAACAGAATGTACAAGTTTTGCTTTGAATACGAAGTAAACTAAAAATGAAATATTTGTGCCATGTAAGAAATCCAATCCTGATTTAAAATTTTGTCATAACTTTAATTTACCAAGTTGTAACACATTGGGAGTGTTTGCTTTGACTGTATTGAGTGAACTGTGGAACCGAATTTGGGTGTAGCACAGGAGCTGTGGTTGCTTTCTCCTGATGAGCAGTTAATTTTGTGTAACTCATACCCTTGAAATCGTGAGCGTGCTTCTCCTCAGAAAAATGGGAAATATCTTTGGGAATCCCTCTCTGCTGATAAGCAGCAAGTGTGTTCAGTTCTGGGCTAGAGCAGGGCGGGATGGCTGGGCCTGGGCAGGAGGCCTGGAATTCCAGAGCTCTCACCTTGGCTGCTCACTCCCCCGCCTGCCTCAGGCGCCGTTGCCTTTTTTTTCCTTAGCTTCGGTTCCTGCACCTGTGAAATGGAGACAATGCCTCCTCGCAGGAATGTTTTGCAATTTATGTAGGTGGAGCTGAGAACCTTCAAAGTGAAAAATCTCTTTAAAGAGAAAGTCTTTAAGGTATTTCAGTGTGTAGCTCCCTGGAATGGATGGCCCAGCCCAGTCCCTTGCTGCCATCACGAGGCACCTCAGGAGATCTCATTCCAGGGGTGGCCCTGGTCCTGCAGGAGCTGGGACCAAAAGGACACCAGCCTGCTGCTCAGTAGTGCTAAGCTGTTCAGTGGCCTGCTCTGCCCCACCTCTGGAGGAACTTGATCAGATATTTTGGTATCCTGATTGCTTGGGAAAATTATAAAGATATTGATTTTAAAAACATTAAGAGACTGGTATTGCGGATTTTTTGTCTAGTAGACATTTCTAGTTACAGTATTGTCTGTTTTCACTAGAACAAGTTGAAATCATCACAGAAGGATAAAGTGCGTCAGTTTATGGTCTTCACACAATCTAGTGAAAAGACAGCAGTCAGTTGTCTGTCTCAAAATGACTGGAAGTTAGATGTTGCAACAGACAACTTTTTCCAAAATCCTGAACTTTATATACGAGAGAGTGTTAAAGGATCACTGGACAGAAAGAAGTTAGAACAACTATATAACAGATACAAAGGTGAGTACCCTGAATTTTAAGGCTTATTTCATACTTGTATAATTCTTATTTACAATGTAATGGTGATGCTGTGCTCTTGTGCTTAACTCGCTCTTTCAGCTTTGTTTTTCTGTGCTAATAATAGAAATTAGAAGGGAAATATAGGTACGTTTCTGCTTCACAAGGATTACATGCAGTTACTTTATGTGCTCTGAATGTATCTACATTTATAGGACAGTAGGGTCTGAGCTGGAATTGTGTGTACAGTGAGTGATTGTGATGGTTAACAAGGATTTTAGGTAAGTCTCCTGGGGAAGGCACATCACACAGGACTTGATCCTGACAAAGGACAAGGCTGCATATTAGGAATGGGTTCTACCTTAGTTTTTGTTCAGCTTGCCCTTATCATCTTAGTTACAGAGTGTAAAAGAAAACAAAGTCTCTCTATCTGTTATATAGCCAGTGTTCAACTGATATCCTACCACATAAAGTAGACTCAGCAGAGCAGAACAATTCCTGTGTTTTAGCGCTTAATCTAAAAATGAGTGCTCTGTTTTCTGTCAATTTTCATATGTTTTATATGTATAATCCAAATACCATTTTTGTGAAGTCTGTCTTGGCTTGTGTTAATAGATCTTTTTTAGCACAGTTGAAATGTGAGCATCTCACTTCCAGACCAGATGTTGATTCCTTTGTGGAAAGAGGAGGAGTGGGTCTGGCTGACTTGGAATCACTAATGGAGCAGCACAATTTCCCCCTGGTTACTGTGTCCAACCTCTGCATGCTGGAAACCTGTGGGCCAGGAAATGCCTAAATTTGCTCTTGGGATAGCCATGGATGGGCAGATTTGGGTATTGGTACAGCTTGGAAATGAACACTGCAGAATGGCTTCTACTGGAACACAGCTCATCAGTCTGACCAAAGAGGCCAATAATTGAGTGTGCTGGAGGAGAGAACCACTGTGCTCTGTAGGGAATGAGTCAGAAGATCCTGCATATTATTAGGCATAAAACAAAATGTTTGTGGTGCTTTTGTCTCTCAATGAAAATAATATGATCTTCATTGTATGGGAGGCTTTATTGCAATAACTGCCTCAATTGTTAAAGCTTAACCATTGGAACACTGATGTATCTTTGTTTGTAAAATACTCTCTTATAAGGGCAGATCCCAAAAAAGGATTGTTGAAAATGTTTCCTTGTCTTAAATATACTTTTTGAACAAATTAGCTTTTCCAAATATCTGTTTCTCTTGATACTTACTTTTATGTGCCAAAGATCCTCAAGATGAAAATAAGATTGGTATAGATGGCATACAGCAGTTCTGTGATGACCTAGCTCTTGACCCAGCCAGCATCACTGTACTCATCATCGCGTGGAAATTCCGGGCTGCAACACAGTGTGAATTTTCAAAGCTGGAATTCATGGATGGAATGACTGAGCTGGGGTGAGTGCTCACTGAGTGTTAGATGGTGCCAGTGTGATCCAGTGCCCTGGTTTGGGGATTTCTCAGTCTTGGTGTCCTCTCTGAGGTGTTTCAGAGTCCAGCATCACTTGTCTGCCTCTGGAAAACGCAGCCCAGCCGTGGTTGTGGGAGGGTTGTGTGGTGGTTGGCACAGAGTTGCTCTGGCAGGTAGAGCAGGGATGTTGGGCAGACCTGGGTTTCTCTGCCTTGTGAGAGTGCAGAGGTCTTTATTGCATTTTCCTAAAAATTTTGTGGATTCTAGAACCTGATATGTCAGGTATATGTGCAAATGCCATGCGAAGAAATAACAAATAAATGAAATTCTTGTAGAAGTGCAGACTCATTAAAGGCTTCCTGAATTCTGTTTTGATAATCATATTGTGTTCTACAAATAGTTTATAGATTTTTGTTTAACTCATGTTTTTATGGCAAAATGAATAATACATAAATATACAAACAAATATTCTTTTTAAAATGCAGATGTGACAGCATAGAAAAACTGAAGGCCCAGATTCCTAAAATGGAACAAGAATTAAAAGAGCCAGGAAGATTTAAGGATTTTTATCAATTTACTTTCAACTTTGCAAAGAACCCAGGACAAAAAGGTTTAGGTATGTATTCTAATTCATAAGCATTTGTTCATAAATATTGGAAATGACTAATTAAAGCAGTAAATGAATGTATTATTGTGATCCAATGAATCTGAAAGATAATCACCCTTGGGATAAAATGCATCTCTGTGTTTTGAAAGACATTAAGGTACTCAAATTGATTATTAATAAAGGCTACAGAATTTTATGAGAGAAGGTTTATTTGTTCACTCACAGTGAGTGTAGTTCTCAGTAAGCACAATGGATTGTGCTCTTATATTAAAGACGTAATTGCACCACTTAGAATTTGCAGCACTGAACAGATTAATTGAATTTTTACTTTTAGGATAAATTAAAGCTGTTAAAACCATTTTCTGTGTAAGCACATTTGTACAGTCCCTTGTAACACCAGAAATGCTTGCAAATGTCCTGGCAGGATAGAATTGGAATGGTAGAAATGATTCCTGTGTTCTGGGCCTGATGCCTGCTGGTGCCTACCTACAGTTTTTTTCCCCTTACCTCTGTGAAGGCTTTTTTGTCATTATTTCAGATTTCACACGCTGAGTGTGGCTTTGGTTGGTGTAACAGGTGTAGTAGAAGAATAACTTATTAAAAATAATTTCAGAACACCACAGTTTGGATGGAATTAAAGCAACAAATTGTAGCTCTGTCTATTCAAAATAACAAAAATGAGGGAATAAATATTTCTTTCAAGCTGTGACGTTAAACACTCAGGATGTACATTAATTTCTCTACCGTGTGATTTGGCTATTAGCCATAACTAACCTTTCATGATCCTGTAACTTCGTAAGTTAATTTTTCTGGTTTTGAGAAGCAATAAAATATGGAAAGGCTGGTAGGTTCTTCCTTGGCAGCTTATGAATTTGTTTTTCTCAGTAATGAAAATGCTCTAAACTGGCTGCCACTGGACAGCTTTGCATTCCCAGGCTGTGTAAAGATGAGCTTTCTGCTTTAGTTTTACTGGCTTTTCTGTACAGACCAACTTTTAGCTTAAAATGAGTATTGAAAAATAAGTAAATAAGCAAAAAATTTGTGTCCTTCTTTGACATCTGGCTCTATCTTGTTTGTTGTTTTCAGTGGATTGTGAATTTCATTGTATCCAAAGGAGCTAAAAGTGCTGCTAAACCATCTGAAAATACTTGTGCATGCTTGTAGTAATTTCTGAATCATGCAAATAAATGAATACGCTGATTTGTATTTCTTGTAGAAAATCACCCTAATTTTTTTAAGCAGCTACAACAAGGAAAATGTGGACAGCAAATGAATTGTGGGATTAATTTCCCAGGAAAACTCATTCACTTGCTTTATTTCTCATTCATCATAAAGCTTCTTCATGCATGTTAAGCTGTAGCAGTGGCAGACAAATATAGTTTTCTGAGATCCATATAGGATATACATAGTGTAAGATAGGTTTTTTAATTGTTTTTGTTTTAATGTTTGGGTCTGGAAGTCTGAGCCTAAAGTCTGGATGCTTACCAGCCATTTTGGTGCTCATAAATACACAGTTCTAGGCATGAATTTAGAACAGGGCAGAATAATTCTGGCAACCCTGGAGCAAAACAATACTGGGAGAAGTACAGAGCTGCAAAGTAAGTGCTGCTAGTTAGGCAATTAATTCTGGTGTGTCTAAATAACTGCTTGTAGGAACTTGCCAAATTGATTTTAATGTATATTGGCCTCTAATCATGCAAACATTGTGCAGTAGTTCAGGCACAGTTCTGGAAATATATTTCCTCTGCATAGCTCCTTACTACTGTGTAAGTAGGAGGGTGTCTGAAAAGTTCTTGTGATGTTTGCATCTCATTGGAGAATGCCCTGTAGCTGGTGTTCATCTCAAACATTGTTTGCTTCTCTTGCATCTCTCTGGATAAAATTAAAAATGGAGGATGTATTTTGAGACTCCTATATTTGAGCCAGGGGGATTTCACTGAGCATTTTCGCAGTTACAGAAACCTAAAATTATATCTTTACCTTCCAGCTTTGTTATTTCATATAATTTATTTTTTAAATTGTACTTTGTCCCAAGGCATTATGTCATCATGCTTTACATGTTTGGACTCATAGAGTGAGTTTGAGGTTGCAGCATTCTGAGATTTAGCTTATAACAGTCTTTGCTTATCCACAAGAATTACCTCCAAATTGTGTAAAAATGTCAGAATGCAGAGTTTGTTTATAGTGATTGTTTACAAACCGCTGTAAAATGCAGTGATTTGATCACCTTGCATTTTGCATGCACACCATTATTGCAGCACAAGTAAATAAAACTTAGTTTTTAGTTTTTTCCTTGAGGAACTGATAAGCTTCCTCTGAAGCTTCTATCTATTAATTTTTAGAAAGACAGTAGTTTTAGTTGAAAACTCAAATGCATGGTTTTGTACCTGAATCTCCTGTTAAAGAGATTTTGAGTCTCTACAGTCTTGAATGAGTTGCCATTTTCAGATACAGCTTTATGTACTGAGGAGTAGTGACTTTTGTCTAATTTGTCTCTGAAATCAAATCTGATTTGTCTGAAATCAAACCTCTTTGCAGCTTTACAGCAGAAAATCCTTCACAAATTTTATTCTGTACTTTGGTCAGGAAATATTATAATGTGACTCTGCTGTTTGAGAACTTTTAATATCAGATGGTAAACAATTCAGAAACTCCTCATCAGCTTCTATTTTCCTTCCAGCAATGCAGACTTCATACTTAGTTTTATTTGCTGTTGGTTTCACCTCCAAGATCTACCTCTCTGGGTTTTTTTAAATATTTGGACATCCTGGGGGAAGGAAGGGAGTGGAGTTCTTGGGTTATTGGTGTGGGATTTTTTTTCCAAAGGTGTGCAGTTGATCCTCTGACTTCTCCCCCTGCTTCCACAAGGAGATTGTTTATAGAAGAAATTTGCTAGACTGTCAAATATAGAAGTTTTTGTTAAAAAGAGGCCACTCAAGCTAGGCAGCCTTTTGGGGTCACTGTGTGACATCCTGTGGCTGAGGATACTAAATTTGGTAATTCACAGTGAGTGGGGTTTGGTGCTGCAGCAATTCCCTGGTAATTCCTGGTAGTGCAGGTGACCCTGGAAAGAGTTGTGGCTTCCAAATGTCTTTTCTGTGCTCACAAGCTCCTGTCTGCCCCTGCTGGCCCTCCAGCCTTTGGCCTCCCCAGGGAGGGGCAGCTGGCTCTGTCCTCCTCCATCCGGACCAGCCAGGTTTTTTGGGAGCTGCTGCCCTCCAGCAGCTCTGACAGGCAGGGGGGCTGCTCTCCAGTGTGTCAGCTCAGGCTTCACTCATTCCAAACAAGCAGGAATTTAGCAGAAGGCTTTGAAAGAGCAAAAAAAGCCAACCCACCACAAAAAAACACCCAACAAACAAAAGGAAAAAAAATCCCAAACCAAAATGGCCAAAAACTACCCCAAACCATCAAGAAAAAAACCCCAAACAAAAGCAAGAACTCAAGCTAACCAAAACAACACCAGCAACAAATAAACCAGCTATTTTCTGTCTGCTCAAGGACCCTACCTAAAGATTCTATTTCAAAAGGAAATCTTGACTGCAGAAATTAGCACTTGACAAAGTGCCTCCTTACAAAGGCAGTGCTTGTAATAATGTTGCCCTAAAAATGAAATAATTAAAAGCTGGTTTTACCTCAATTGTATTTTGTACATTAAAAAATAATTTTAAAAAGTCTCTGTACAAAATACTACAAATTTTCTTTTCAAGCCAATAGCATCCTTAACTGAAAATGTTTTGCTGACTTTAAAGTACTGTTAGATAGCAAAAGGCGTATGAAATGTCCGGGGGGGTTTGGATATGTTAGATATTAATATGGGCAATTTTCAGTTCTGTAAAATATGAAATATTTGTGTTTATGGTTGCCTTTTTGTAAAGGATCCACAAGTATATTTGCTTTAGTTTAATCTTTTCATGTTTTTGGATACATGGTGTTCAGTAGTTGTGGAGACTATATATGTGATATAGTTATCTCTAAAAGTAATTATTTTGATATTACAGATTTAGAAATGGCCATTGCCTACTGGAATTTAGTACTTAATGGAAGATTTAAATTTCTAGACTTGTGGAACAAATTTTTGTTGGTAAGTTTAAACCTTTACATTATCTGCAGTATTTTCATAACTTGGAAGATAAACATGTTTAAGTTATTGAGGCGATAAAATAGACTGTCTTGACCTAAATCCCAGATATTCATAGTGTGTACAATAGAAATGTGTTTTGGGGATATGGATGTGTTTGAGACAGCAGAAATGAATGTATAATAGGGTTTTAATTTATTTTTTTAAATATAAATTTTCCACCTCTCCAAACAGGAACATCATAAAAGATCAATTCCTAAGGATACCTGGAACCTTCTTCTAGACTTTAGTACAATGATAGCAGATGATATGTCTAACTATGACGAGGAAGGTAAACATTGCCATTTTTTCTCATTAACTTCTAACTGTGTTTTATGTTACATTTATTGCTGTGTATCTGCTTTGGCACAATTTCAAAACCAGCTCCATTAGAGTATTACTGGTGATCTGAAGTCCAGTTAGAGCTCCTTTAATGCACATTGTAATCATCTCTGTTACTGATGTTTGAAAAAAGAATTGCTGAAGCTTTCATGGAATAATTTTTCTTGTTTTGTTCTGTCTAAGCTCAGACACAAATTCTTTCTTACTGAGACAACCCCAAATTCTTTCTTATTGAGACAAACCCTGCTATATGTCTATGTAAAACCCACAGATTCTTGGCATCTTCATCCAAGTAACTGATCCATGGTTTGTGCAGTAGGGTCCCCTGTTTACTGCATTTCATAGCTGAGAATGTTTTTAAGTCTGTTTGCTTCAGTTTATGTGAGGCCTGGACATGTTTTGACATAGAAGTGAAGCTGGCAGCACACAGGGGCTGCTGAACAGAACTCACTTCCTACCAAAGGTGTTTCTTGTAAACTTTTGTATTGATCTTTCCTCTTCTAGTCCATGTGCATCCAAGAACAGCTGATTACCCTCAGCCCTTGGCAGAACATCAGTTCAGTGAGGGGGGAAATGAAACTTGGGATACCTCTGGAGCAGAGGGCAGCAAAGTTCTCCAACTTTATTTAGTAATTGTGGACTGTTCTCATTCCCTTGTCAGTTTTGAGTTAGGATTTTGGTCAGTTTTTTGTTTTTGTCTGGAAGATGACCCTTGAAAGTGATGTGTATTAACTGGTTTTAAAGGAAGCAGAAATCTTCAATCGGCTCTTAAATTTCAAGCAGGAAAATAAAATTATATTTTTTTGCTTCAAACTCTGCCTAGTTTTAATACTGGAAAGCAAATAGCTTGTCAGGATAGGAAGCTTGTGATAGAATGCCTTGTTAAACCAAGTTCTTACATTCTGGTGTTTTCCTCTTTCAGGGGCATGGCCAGTTCTTATTGATGACTTTGTGGAATTTGCACGCCCTCAAATTGCTGGGACAAAAAGTACGACAGTGTAGCACTAAAGGACCCTTCTAGAGTGTACATAGTCTGTACAATACCTGAAATGGAAAATTGCACAGTCAATTTCTGCTGGCTGGACTGAACTGAAGATCAATCCTCACAATGTGGCTGAGGGTTGAGACAAAACTTTAAGGATACATCTTGGACCATATCATATTTCATTCTTCTACTGGTGGTTTGGGCTTTTCTTCTAGTCTGGACCACTCTTGCCTGTTAAAATTCCAACACTGTGGATTTCATCATGGATTTATTTTTTGTTGGTGGATCACCCTAGTTTCATCTCCCATAAGTCCTAGAAGCTTTATAATTATTTTGAGGTTTCTGATTTCACATAAAGCACAACACTGGTCATCATCAGACAACTGTTGTATGGCATTTGAATTATACAGATCAACATCAAAACAATTTTTAAAAGAATCCTTAAATACACACTTGGGGCTAGTTGCAAAGACTGTACTGATAGCACTTCCTGCAAGAGTGATATATTATGTCTACTGGGTCCGAGATTTTTCTTTTCTGGAAAAGTGCAGGTGTCGTCTGAGTTTGAGTCTCTGGTCACAGCAGTGACAGGAATGACCAAGGAGCCCCAGGGCTGTTGACTGGGGGTCTCTGGTGCCTGGCTGAGGTTTGCTGGTGGCTCAGCTGCTCTGGGGACAGCTTGGGGACGACACAACTCGAGCACTTGCACCCCGTGGGCCATGGCAGAGCCTGCAGTGGCTGAGCTGTGTCCTCAGAGAAGCCAGCGTTCTCTAGGTTACTCTCTAAGAAATCAGATTTCATTGCAGTTTTGAAATGCTTATCTGTCTGTCAAAGAAAGGTTTTTCATTTCTGTGGAAATCAAACACTTGAATATACTGAATTTGTGTCTTAACTGTTTGCTACACAATACAGTATTTTAAATTGAGACGTGACTTTTATGGCTGAGGTGCGATGAAGCAAATGGCCCTGTTGTACAAGAAGCTGGTGAGGTTGATGTGAATCTGGGTTTTGAAACCATTATCCTGGTAAGTTAAATCTTTGTAACACAGAGGTACTGCCATTATGGATGCATCCTTTTTTAAATTATTTTGCTGAGTTTTCCTTAAATTTCCATATCACTTTGGTTGCCAAATACAGAAATTAAGAGTAAAGCTTTCCCAAACAAGCACAGATCAGATAGAAACTACAACACTGGCTTTGTTTGTTTAAATTATTTTGTTACCATCACTACTTCTGTCTTGCTGCATTTGACTAAATTGCTTCATTTGGATCAAACAGGTTTTATCAGATGCAATTCTTTAATAATACAAGAGCTCCTTAGCTGCTTTTATGGTCTTTTACTCCTCACTGAGTTACTTGTGAAGAGATGTGATAAATCCTGCTCTGGAAAAGAAGCTGGGGAGAACGAGCTCCAGGAGTGGAGACAGACCATACTTAAAAGTGAGAAGAGGGGATTTAAGTCTGTGTTCTAAATAGTGCCCTGACAAGGCAAGAATTGTTCTTGAGATGAGTCACTGGTACTTGCACTAGACTGCAGCATGATTTTATGCAGATGGTAAAAGTATTTTAGAGAAAAATTGGCTATTAAACAGCTAAAATTTTTATTTGTACTCTGTGCAGTTGACCTTAAGGCTGGCTCCCCTTACAGCAGTGCCCTTTTGGCAAATCCAGTTGTGCATTTATTCCAAAAATACAGTTCCTCAAAAACATTGCAGACTTTCTCCAGCTACTGGAATTGGCTATGCCAAAAACTGTGTGTTTTGCTGCTTTCAATATTTTGTTTCTCAGTTTTGTGTAAATAAAAATGGGGACATGAAATTATGGGGTGGGTGGGGTGGGGAAAAAAAAAGCTTGACAAGGTTATCTCTGCGTGCTGTTTTCTGTCTTGAGGGTTTTGGTACTGTTTCAAATTGATTCGTTCAAGTATGCTGTGCTTGGAGAGGAGAAGTGACTTGCTTTTCATCCCAATGCAGACTCTTCCCTCAAAAAAGTCTGGGATTGGGCAGTGGCAAAGTGCCGTGGTGTTTTAGAGACTCTTCCTTTTGAATGCAAGATCTTTCCAACAAAATAGTGTTGTCATCAGTTTGGTACTACATGCTTATAATTACTGTGTAATTATAAAGAAATACATAAAAACTTTGACTAATTATGTTGCAGAAAAGGGTTATTTGTGCTATCATGGCATCTTAAAAGTTTTTCCAAATAACTGAAGTTTAAAGAAACATTGATGTAACAGGGTGTTGCTCTAAGGACAAAATGCCTGGTTACAGGGAGTATTTTGTACTGAAATGTGCTCAAATGTGGCCATGTGGTTTTTTTTCCTTTATATATGTGTGGGGTTGTTTTTTTTTT